AATCGTTGTTTAAAAATCTGTTGCGTTTCGCGAAAATTTCGTGCGCAATTAATCCTACTTTTGACGCGGTTGATTTGCCGCAAAAGAAATGCAAATTTTATTTTTGACTGAGGCTCTGTTAGGGTTCATTTTCTGCGTAGATAATTTAGGGCCGTTATTCGGAGGATAGCCAATGTTTCAATTCTTTCTGGAACATACAGGAAGTCATTTATATTTTTAAAAAAATATTTTTTCCCAGAACTTGATACAGAACAAGAAATTCATGAGTGAATTTACTCTTTTTTTTCTACAGAAAGTTGTTTTGCTGGACACATACAAAGTAATTTAACAGAATGGCTTGAGATAAATTTTGTCTGTTTTCCACAGTTGTGGATTCAAGCTGTACAAAGGCATGACTAGTGAAGACACTTTCTTTAAGGGTGCCTAAGTTGGTCATGTGTCTTAATACACTTATTTCTGCAGCTAGGCACTATCATCATTTGGTGGTCACAGTGTGAAAGGTTAATTTCCAGCACTATATAGCCTTCAATTTGTATGGTGTCCGGTGTGTCTTATCTTTCTATGAGTGCCAATCGATTCACTGTCTCTTTGTTTATTATTCATGTTTATACAGCCTCAACAGTTCCTCATCTGTTAGTGATTAGTAATTAGTGATTAGAAAGGATTATTATCATCACAGCACTCCGGACAGATCCATAGGTGCTCTGATCTCCTCCTCAAAAGCTCCACAAGTGTAAAACAACTGATCACGCCTGTTCTGGTTGGTAATGAAACCTCTTGTCCTCTTAGTGAAATGTTCATTTCTTGCGGCACCAGGCTGCACCCCCACGTCCATCAGTTTCCTCATCTGTGTATTATTCTAACAGATCAATGCCAACTGCACCAAGATAATTACCACTATTGGCTTAATTAGTTTGTACATCATCAGAATACTTTTCTGCACTTAATGGGAAGGGTGTACAAAATCAAAATCCACATTATTGACTGTCCAAACTATTAAATTCTCTTTTCTTAAGTTTCCATTACTTCTGTTTTCAATTTTTAAAAAAATTTATTTTTACATATGCCTGTTTCAAAAAAAAAAAATGAACAACACAACTTAAAACTGTTATCGGAGCAGAGACTGGCCGAGCAGTCGAGAGAATTCTGACCACTCTGACTGGAAGACACAGGATCTCAACCTGGCAAATCTTTTTTTTTATAAACTGAGGTAGGTCAAACTAAAAGCTTCTAAACTCAATTCTAAATCAAAGTTTTATAATTAATACGGTGTTTTAAACAAAAAAAATTTACTTGAGGTGAAACAAAGGCTATTTTAACTGAGGTAAAATTGAAGGCTAAAATACATCTTGTTATAAACATGCAGGTAAAGTAGCCTCCAGAACAACCAAAATTCTCACACATTATGAGAACTCCAGTATTCAGTATCTTGCCTCTGCACACTGAGCTAATAAACAATAGAGTTTGGTCAAATTTCAGGTGTGGATTCTGGGGCATCATTAAGGCGGGGGATAATAGATCCACTGCCCCAAGCAGACATGCTGTAAGAAGCAGCCAGTCAGTTTCCTTTAGGGTCAGTGCAACTGTCTGAGAGGTGAGTAACCAACAGTTTGCATTCACATAAGCTGGATCTGTAAAACAGATGTGCATGCAAAACTCAAAAGTTCTAGAACAAGACCAAAGTCCAGAAGTGAATGAACAACCAGAACTTCTGCCAGAGTTAACAGCCAGTGAACGCTAAGAAGACAAACAGATCTAACAATTGTAGTATCAGCTGGGCTTGTATTTGATGAGACACAGCTACACTGTCAAAACTGGTGTACAAAGCAAGTACTATAATTATAAGATCAATCTTCTCTTCTAGTATTCAACAGCTGTAGTCCCTCGTGACAAGTTCTGGGTCTTCATTCACATCCAGACTTCGGTCTTGCTTCAGAACTTGAGTGTCTGAGCAATTTACATGAATTAAATTCCTGTGGTTACTAATGAACTCCAGAACAAACAATCATGACAAAACTGGTCCCATCATGGGTCTCTAGTTACCTTTTGTTCAAACCATTTTAATATTTTTACAATAAATTACATTCAGAGTTAGCTAATGATTTATCCTGATTTTAGTTTACCATTACAATGTTTAAAAAGTGCAGAAGATAAAGGTTTCAAAATGAGCACATCTGAATTTCAGCCACGAACACCTTTCTTTAAACAATGAAGGTGAATTACTCAAAAATTCTTTCTCAGAATGAATCAAAGAAATTGGTTGATTCATCGGTTTGTTCCATCCTGGCTGTTACCTAAAGATATACTTTACCGTGCTGAGACTCAAAATATCTCGCTTTGGATGACAAACCAACAAAGCAGATCTCAGTTACTCAGTTCCACCTCCACAGAGGTTATAATTAGGCCACCATAACGGCAACACCAGCCAGGCGTAATGTGCGGTCTTATGCAGGTAATGATCCGCTTGAAATGTGAGTTAAGATGCACACTTTTTTAAAATTCAAAGTGTACGCATACAGGTTTAAAAAAAAATACCTATGTTATTTATAACCAAGCATAAATGTTCAACTCCCACCATGGTCAAAGCCGTGGATATAATGTAAAAAAAAAATTATGGAACACATTTCTAAATAAAAAATTATTCAGGAACGGTCATATCGTTTAAAGTACATATACAAGCAAGAAGTTAATATGATTCCGAAATAAATACAATGAACAATAGGTACCATGAGAACTTTATATGTATATATATATATAAATATTGGGCACAAGTTGTAAGGCAGTGGGCTGGTACATGCATGTCTATCAGCCATTTCCGATACTAACCTTTTAATGTGAGCACAATCAGGTTTCCATTTTGTAAAACAATCCTCAATGAACTTAAAATTTACAATAAAAAGTTACTTTATATCTTTTCTCCATTGCTTCCGTGTTCTCTCTGGTTGCATTCGAGGTTTGATACTTTGAAAAATATATGCTTTTGGCTTCCGGATAGAGTCCATTCACTTTTGGTTTGCACTTATGAATGGCACAGTTTGTGAGTAAATATCACAATATACATCTCAAGTGTCATCAAACTGATGAAAATAATATACAAATTTAACAAGGCAATCATCATTACAAAACAAATAAAAAATAACGCGGAACGTGTCAGAGATTGAACCCCTAGAAGTGCTGCAGTAAATAAATCAGGTGACAAGAGTTCTTAGCCCCTGTCCCAAATTTTTATATTATGATAATTTTGAAGCCGAACTCTAAAAACGTGAAGGAATCTATAAAATAAGCCACTCAAAGGCAAATTAAGAAAACCATTACAATGTGGCAACAAAAAAGAAGGAATGTATTGAAATAAACAGAAAAGCTACCTACAAGATCAATTATCAGCATATTTTTTAGATTTTTTTTTTCAGAGCAAGTATTGTCAGCTAAAAGAAAAAATGATGAAACATTGCAACAATTTTATATAAAAAACGTAGATGTAATTTACTTCAAACAAATAATCTCATAGTTTTTTTAAGGGGGTGGGGGGTCCTTCCTCCTATCAATATATCAAACTTGGTTATACATAGATAATATGATTTTTATAAAAAATTATTTGAAAGTGAAAACTTTTCTTCAGCTGAATGCAAGGGACTTGCATGGACACAGAAACATACGTCTGGAGGGGAAAGGAGAAACAGACCTGCTATAATTCAGTTGTATTTGTACAACTCTGATAGCAACCAAGGTTTCTACTGTCCATTTTTAATCAGATTTAATACTCTATAAATTGCTAAATCCAGCAGACACTGTCATGTCTGCTGTCGATATCGCCTTTAATTTGATCAATAACAAAAATAAAAATTTGTAAGCATTTTATTTTTATTCTTCAATGGCAAGCAAGCACAAAAGAAATTTAAATATTTTTACTTATCAATTTCCAGAGCAGCCATGATTTTCATCACCCATAACTTTCTGGGTTAAAGAAAAAAATAGAACTTAACTCACTATATACCGAACAAATCACACACTGATCAAAATCTTAATACACAACCAGCAGTGAAACAAATTACTATGTATAAACTCACATTATCTTTGAATTTTGACACGGATGAGACAATCCAAAATGGTAGCTCAAGCAATGAAACTGGGTAGTTTTATTTCATTCACTTTCATGATAACTTTTGTCTTGCTAAAGAGGATTACCCATTGCAAGTATAATGACTAAATAAATGAGATCTGCAAATTTTCACTTTCCCACTAGAGAGCTCCAGTACAGAGTATAAATAGGTTTGAAGGCTAAAGTTGAAGGATCACAATTGGTATTTATAAACTGTACGGATGTATACGCATGACATTAAGCCTTGAAATAAAATACATAATCTTTTTTTTTTAAATTGTGTACCATTTCCACAAGGAAGGCTAGGCTGACTACAGTGTACCAAGTGAGGCTTTTGGAAATATTAGGCGAGGCCCCAATGTCTTCCATGGTGGGACTCTCATACTACTGTCTAAAAACTACAAGAACATTTTCTGTTAAAAAAAAAAAAAAAAAAAAAAAAAAACACCCCAGAATTCAATGACTGTGAAGCTGTTAAGCACATTCATTAACCAGCCAAAGAAATACCGGCATCTATCAGACCTATTTAAAAGGCTACTCGCCTCTTTACATGAATGTTTAAGTTTTGGTTGCTGTATGCTCAATAAATCCAACAACCACAAGATAATTTTTCATTCCTACAACATACCAAGTGATTAGAGTTTTTGTGGCAATATGTAATGACAAAAAATGATTTTTGTTTTAAATCCTATGGGATCAAAAAAACTGATACTAGCCGAAAATCCTCTAGTTATCAAAGTTTGACATTTGCTTGCACAGAACTAGTGACAGACAAACAAACAAACAAAAGGGTAACAGATTAAGTATAAAAACAAGAACAATTTTTTTTAAAGTAAATAAAACACAGTGAAAGATTATCAATGCTGACATGTTCTATTATTGCAATATAGCTCTGTTTTTCTCAGTCAGTGCCAAAATATTTCTCGCCAAAATGATTAGGAGCAACTGGGTGGACTTCCGAAGTTAAAATAGTCATGCCCGGAAATTCACTGACCAGTTGTTGAGCAGCTGTAGAATACAGAAAGGTTGTACAATATTACTGGGCTTATTACATATGCTTGAAGATAATAATGTCTTAAATGTTAAAAACAAATTTAAACATACTGAATGTAGCATGCAAAAAAAAATGTGCACGATATTAAAAATATTTCTTCTTTGGCGATCATGCATGCTATGTGTCTATTCCAATATAGGTCACAAACAGGATGGTGTGTTTGAGGTCTTCACTTCTGCCCCATTGTTTATCTTGTAAGGATGCTCCTGTGGGCCAGATTTCTTCTCTGTGACTGGCAAAGTTTAGACAATACAATTAAACATGCTCTGGAGCTTGGTGAGCCACAACCGCAAACAGCAGAGCTGGCAAGCCTCTTTTGATGTAGGTGTGTATACTGATACAGTGTAAAAAAAATAATACATACACATCATACTGTACCAAAAGTAAAATAAATACAATGCACAACTTGTCAATCACCCCGAATTATGTCTTGCAAATACTGGAGTCAGGCTGGTGCAGACTGGCCAGTTGGTGACACTGAGTGTTTGATAACAGTCTCTTTAACTAAATTAATTAAATACTAGAGTCAGGCTGTTGCAGGCTGTTGCAGACTGTCCAGTTGGTGACACCGAGTGTTTGATGACAGTCTTCTTAACTAAACTAATTATATACTAGAGTCAGGCTGTTGCAGACTGTCCAGTTGGTGACACAGAGTGTTTGATGACAGTCTTCTTAACTTAACTAATTAAATACTGGAGTCAAACTGATGTGGACTGTCCAGTTGGTGACACTGAGTGTTTGATGACAGTCTTCTTAACTAAACTAATTGAAAGCAGCCTGCTACAAAATGGACGACAGTTGATGTCCAAACTGGCACTCTAAAACTGTTTTCACAGCCTCAGAGATAAACATAACGAAAGATTTTGATAAAATAATTCCAGTATACCACATGTGAGCTGGCTTACCTTGTGGGGTACAGAACAGGTTTAACAAAATTATATTGCTCTCATTGACGCTGTGTTGTTGTAATGTTTTAACAGCTTTAATAACGGTGTTCCCTGTTCCTGTGAATACATACGATGAATAGAACTGTAACACTTAATACATCATTCAAACAGTTAAAAAAAATATTCATTTCAACCAAGGATCACAATTATGGCACATTCAGATACCTTAAAAAATGTACCTTTTTTGTTGTTGTTGTAAATTACATTAGAAAATTCTCAAACTGTATAGCAAAGATTGAAATGTTTATATTGAAGAATAAAACATGCCATAAATATTGATTAGTAGGGATATTTTTTAAATTTGCAATTTACTAGGGAAACAGTTTAACAAATCGTTCAGGAAACCACCTGCCCCAGCACAAGATGACTATTTTTTATGGACAGATCAGAACAAGTCATTATCCTCCGCCTCAGAACAGGGCACAACCGATTACGTAACCACATGTACACAAAATTCAAGGTAGGCGTATCAGCCATGTGCACCTGTGGAAAAGTGCCCCAGACAGCAGAGCATGTACTCCAGGAAGGACTGCACCGAATTTGACACATTAAGGCAAACCTTTTGGCCAGAAGGAACAACAGTGGAACGTAAACTCTGTGGACCACTGAATGAATTAACGACAGTGAAATTTATACAAGAGTCAAAATTGCTGATATAGACAACTTATTCCAGGCGAACGAAAGAAGAAGAGGAGAGTTTATTTAACTGGAGTTAGAGATTATTAATATGAGAAGGACATGGAAAAAGCTGCAAATTTACAAAAAAGGATGGCCTGCGGTGAGCTGGTTGTAGTTCTGTGTTTGATGTTGAAAACAAAAAGGCAGAAATAAATGTTTTTAAAAAAAGCTGGCCAGAATTTGGCCTGTTTAACCTCACTTATGATTTAAAAAAAAAAAACCAGAATGACTCACTCATGATTGGGTACATCAGCAGCACTTTCCTCTGGTGTATGTCTTTGGGAAGATTTGCATACACTACCCGAGCATCATGCGTATCCTCATTGCTCTTTATCAAGATTTTGCCGATTCGTATAGATCTGCAGCAGTCCCGCAGCCCTTGCTCCATTGCCTCACCTTGTAGGGAAAAAACACCTCAGTAGTGGAAAAGCTATTTATTGGCTTACTAGGCTCAAATAATAGTATATATCTAAACACATCATTCTATCATTCACATAAATGGTAAAATTCACAGCGGTCCAGGTAAGTACTACAAACTTTATGGAATTCTGTCATTTATTTTTACTTTGTTTCACTTGTCTTCCTAAAAAGTTAATACCGTAATGTAGTCACTTCAGAGTCAGCTCAATATCTGTACTGTTTTGTTCCTCATTGTTCTAGTGACGAAAGCTAATCGCTGCCATATCCTTTTTTTTTTACCACTGTAATTTATCCTGCAAAACTGACACATACTTTATTTTTCCAATCTCTTTTAAGAGTAAGTCTCTTAATACAATATAGAGACACCAGTACAACTATCTTGGAACAGTTACTATATATGATGGAAAATGCCATGCAGAGATTAAAACAAGAACTGAAGTAGCTGTCTGGAAGATTTAAAAAAACACAACTGGAAACTGGATATAGAAACAAAAATGTCGAATTTTGACCTCGTTCAGCTGCCTGCTGGCTTGCTATATTGAAGTCGGTTTCTTTGTGGTTTGATTCTAGATTCTTGGTCCCTTGTGGTGAATATTTTCACCTAATTTTGGTTCCTTGCTGCATTGGTTTGGGTTGGTATTGGATGTTCTACTAGTCCTGAGAAGGACTAGTATGATTTGCCTGGGACGGCCTCGATCGGGAGTGGCTTGGCTTGGCTTCCGATTGGTGTTTAAACATGTCTGGCTGGTCTGTCTGGTTTGCTGGTTTTCCTCGCGTCAGTGTGGGAAAATGGGCAGGGCTGCTGAGGTTCGGTTTGGGCTGGCTCGCTGTGTTTCTTCGCGTCGGTGGGCTTGGCTTATTCCTCAAAGATGGCGGTCTGGTCCGGCTGGGTTAGTGCGGGAGACTAATTTGTCTGTTGGGCCAGCTGTTTTTGGGCTGCTTCCACCTGGTCATGGAAATGCTCACTCTGGCTTAATACTTTCATCGCCTGTTCGGTGTTCCCTGCATCCATTGTCTCCTTTTTGTTTCTTTTATTCGTTCGTGGGCATCTCCCGCCTGTTGGAAGAACCTGTTCAGTTTTGGTATGTAGGCTTTGCTTACTTCGTCGAATACGAGACTGCCACTAGCAAATATTTCCTGGTCATAGTTGATATAGTAGTTGCCTTTTTTGAATACGATCTTGTGCGGGAGATCTTCTTGTATGTTGAAAACTTGCACAATTTCACTTAGGCCGGCTTCGCTTATGTCCTCGGGGATTATTGTTTCTTTTGTTTCAGGATGGGCTGTGGCCTCATCTGCGGCTAGGATCGTTTCCGTATCGCTGCTTCGGTCCGTGGTTTGTTCTAATTCGGCGGGCTGCACTTCTACGTTCTCCTCGTCGGGCTCTGTTGGGTCTGCTTCTTGGTAATATTCATCTGCGTATTAAGGTTTTTGGTTTGCTGAGGCCACAATTTTATCGATCTTCTCTGTTTCGCAGGAGAGTTTTTCCTGAACTTGGTTGAGCTCCTGGATGATTTCGCGTGCCTCTTTGATTTCGTCTTGGATGGTGGTGTTTGTTAAATGCAGCTGTTTTTTCGTCCTGCAAGGCCATCAGTTTCTTGAGCTCTAGCACCGCCGCTTCTTTCTCTGACTTCTGCTGGGTTAATCGCGTGACTTCTAGGTATGTGCTTTCTCTGGCCTCCTTGAGTTCCGCCATCTCCTTCTTTCTTTCCTGCCTTTCATCCTGTCGGTGCTTTTCTGCTTCCATCTGGGCTACTTTTAGACTTTCGGTAAGTGCGTGGATGCTGTCTTTGATTTCTGCATCGCGCTTGTTGTTCTTTATTTGTTGGGCTTCTTGAGCTGAGCTGACCTCCTTCAGTACTTTGATTTCCCTTAGCATAAGGGTGATCAGCTCGTGGGTTTCTGCTTTCTCAGCGGCGGCGGCTTCTCTCTCTTTCCGTAGTTCAGCTTTAAGCTCGGTGATGGCGCGCATTAGCTGAGGGTCTCTGGTGGTGACCTCCTTCCTCTCTGTGCGGGTGGACTGGCTTGATGTGTAGCTTGGCCTGGGTGCCTCATATCTCTGCTGGTGTCTAGGTCCGGCATTATTCATCTCCCTCTTTATCTGCTTGAGGTACGGACAACCCAGGTACCTCGCGCTGTGGGCCCCTCCACAGTTTGAGCATCGTCTGCTCGGGTTGGGCTTCTTGAAGTCCGGGTCCTTCTTGGCTAGCGGGCACTCCTTGAAATCATGCGCCTGGGAGCAGTATCTGCAAGCAAGGTTGCTGCGGCAATTAGCGGCTGTGTGCCACGCCTTGTTACAGCGCGAACACTGTAGGATTTCTGGACTGGCGGCTCCCGGTCGCTGCTGCTGCCTGTGTGGTCGGGTGTAGGTGGGCTCCCGCACCACGACAGGGGCGACTTCTGGTTGTGATGCTGCCTCGACAGGGGCCTTATCGGAAGTTGGCGGCGTCTGGGTAGGTGTGGCTGACGTCTCGATAGGGACGTCAGTCAAAGCTGGCATTGTCTGCACCGTAGGGGCTGGTGCCACGGCACTGAGTTGGGTTATTCTTGCCACGGGCCATAGTGGATGTGGCTGGCAAAGGCTGTTCTGATCGGGCTGCTGTTTGATTGCTAGGTCCCTTCGGAGTCGGCAAGGCTTGTTAGAGTATCCTGAAAAGGACACCCAAGCGTGCTTTCTCCTTAGTTCTCTAGCAATCGTTAAAAAAACTGGCTGGTATGACTGGCTCTTCAACAATGATGTGCTCCCGGGCCGCTAATAACCCACCCGCAGACGAATACCGATAGCGTAGTTGAGCCAAAACTCAGCCGAATTTCAAGCGAGTTCTGACCAGTATCTAGCTATCGATAATCTGGCTACGAATGGATAGTTAGCAAGCTAACGAGAGACACACGTGGCTGTATCAGGCGGTAGAGCGAGCGAGAGCTGTGTGCGCAGATGATGACGACTGATAAAAAAAAAACAATAATAATGGCATAGAATGTTATATAGAGCTTACTCAGTTGTATGGGTGTGAAACATGGACAACAGGCCAGTTAAGAACGCCAAGGAAATAGATTTATGAAATAAAATGCAAGAATATAATGGATGATTTCGTATTAACTGGCAACTAAGGGATTTGTTGGCACCCTTCTGTCTTTCCAAATGACAGTGTTATATTGTTCTGTACAGAGAAACAGAGATTACAGTGCATGGCGATAGCCAGTGCGACTAGCAAGACACTCACATGTTAAGAAAGGTCTTCTGCAATTAGATCATGGGATTTTAGAACCGTTTTAGCCACCTCTTGTATTTAAACTGTTTCTTCTCATTCATTCAACTCTCAAACTTACTGCAATCATCTGTTCCTTTATTCACATTCCTTTCCTGATTCCCCCCCCCCCCCTCCCCCTACACCCCTTTCAAGATAACATGGTCCATGGCCTTTTGTTCCCACAAATCAACACATGTATCACTCGTGTCCCGCTTGCATACATCTTTATATTGTAGCAGAGATCAACCTCAATGGGCACATCTGTAATTCATCAGAGAGGATGCCTTTAGGGACTGTTGTAATATATGCTTCTTCCAAAACCTTAGTGTCTGTGACCTTGTTTTTACCACTGAATGCCCAGTAACTGATGGGTCCTGGAAGCTTGAGTAAGTCTTTAACATCACTAGACAAAGGCAATTTGGACACCACTTCACCTGGCCAGCAGGAAAGCGTGGCAAGCACCAACAGCCGGTACACCATGGTAGCTTCCACATAAATGTCACATGGAGCTCATAGTCTAATCCTCCACTTTGTTTTCTTATGCAATCCTTTTCATATCATGGAAAGAACCAGTCCAGTACCTTTGGCCTCTCAACAAATTCCTCCTATGGTTTCTGACATTTAGGAAAAAAAAATCTTACCGCTCCTGACGATGCTGACCCCACAGTTGCCCTTCTCATACCGAAGACCATCATATGTATGACCTGCAGAAATAGAGCCACATTACAAAACTAGTCTGCAGTGGTGCTGTCAGAAAACAATAAGTAAATAAGTAGTTGACAAAAATAAATCTAGGTAAGTTTTGCACACACAAAATTAGAGGAAGTTCACTGTGATAATGCTGCCAGAACACAAAAAGTGACAAATAAATCTAGGTCTGTTGTACAGAAATAAAAAAAAAAAATGCATTTTAGAAGCACATTAAAACAAAGACTTTTTTCTGCTGCTCTGTGAAAGGTTAGGTACTGGAGTCGGCATTCCAATATCCACAGCTGTTCTTTAATCATAACTAGATTTCAAACTATTATTCTGGAGTCACAGATGGGTCTTCTTCTTCATTTCCTTTCTTCTACGTCAGGTGGTCAAGAAGATATAAGGAAAGCAAAAAGTAAAAGACACAAATAACACTGAAATAAATTTAATGATAAACAATATTTGCATTTGTAAAGAAAAGCTTTTCAAGGCACAAAGTATATGAGGTGTAAAATGCTGGTCAAATGTGTGTGTGTGTGTGTGAGGAGTGGTCAGAATTTGCTGCTGCCAGGGCGTCCAAATATTTATTGACTTTTATTTATTATCTCCATCACAACTTCTTTATTAGCTTGTTTATTTCTCACTGGCTCTGGTTTAGTAATTGTTTAAAATCTGTCATTTATGTTTGTTTCTTATCTTTTCAATTAGGTGTTTTCGACATTATCAGTGTTTTATGTTTTTATGCATAGATATCATCATATGAAATGTTACCTGCTGTTGGAAATCACAAGATGTAGAGAAACCTGGTCATCCATGCCAGTCAGCAAGATATGGTCCCCTCCAGGCCACATGTGTTTATTAGTTGCCTGCTACATTTAATCTTGTTTTGCAACATTTTAAGACTCCTCAAGTATTGGGTTTAATTTCTGAGGCAGGTTTACTTCTAATACAAAAACTATTGTTGCTTTCAGACAATGGTACGAGAGTGGCACCATGGGATAAGACACCACAGAAGAGTATAAGGTCCCAACATGTAATATTTCCAAAGACAGCAGTGATGTCACAGAAGGGAATAAGGTTCCATCATGTAATGTTTCCAAAGACAGCAGTGATGTCACAGAAGGGAATAAGGTTCCATCATGTAATGTTTCCAAAGACAGCAGTGATGTCACAGAAGGGAATAAGGTTCCATCATGTAATGTTTCCAAAGACAGCAGTGACGCCACAGAAGGGAATAAGGTTCCATCATGTAATGTTTCCAAAGACAGCAGTGACGCCACAGAAGGGAATAAGGTTCCATCATGTAATGTTTCCAAAAACAGCAGTGACGCCACAGAAGGGAATAAGGTTCCAACATGTAATGTTTCCAAAGACAGCAGTACAATGTAGCAACTCTCACTGTGGAGATGCCACACAATTGAAAATAACATTCCAGCTACCATTTCAGTAAATCTTCCCATAAGACAAGTCGGCAATCCAGACCCCTAATTTAGGTCACATGTTATATTTCTTCCAGGAAAAGCCCCCTTTCCATCTGCATCATTTTACATTCTTTTTGTTCAATTTGTTCACGGTTGGTTGGATTTTGCAGCTAACATTTTTTTTTCAGAGTCGGTAGTCCGCCTCGTAAAAACCCTCCTACGTGGCCTCTTGTGACATGCATGAGGGATTACTATTCACTGCTTGACATATGGGCCCCAGCAACACCTGGGCAAGACAAGGATATACAAACGTGTACTTCTTTATGCAAAAAAGAGCAGTCTAATATTCAAGCGGGTCCAAACAAAAAAGCTAAAGTTTCGGTCCAGCAAATCATTTAAGAGTACATTTATGACATTGCTGTAAAGAATTAAAAAATCCTCTTGCTTGGGCAGATTTCGTAATAAAACAGATTTTCCTGAGGTAGAACCAGTCAAGGGTGAATGTGTATATACATATATATAAAACTAAGCATAAAAGAATACAGAGATTTATATCTTGTTATGCTGTCTAAACAGAAGTGCGTCATAGAGATTGTGAAGCCAATCCCAAGTTCATGAAGTATTGGTTTGGATTCCAGAATAGGTGTGATTTTTTAAAAGAATCTTTATAATGATTTCGCATAAGCCATTTATTTCTCTGCTAGTGATATCAGATACCAATGTTTTCTCAGATGAATGTGAAATAAAATAAAAACTAAAAAATTATTTTGTTAAAGAATGTTTCATGGAGATGTATGTGTCTTCTATTTACAGAGGATTAATGTCAATAATCCTACCCAAGATGACAGCAGATTTGCTGCTCAATCCACAAGGAAATTCTGGCCCTTCTTCCCATTCACCAGCTGTAATCTCCAACAGAAAGTTCTGGTTTTCATCTACCTTTGACTTGATCCAGGAGGCTGCTTGGTCTCGAGGCTTACCTTGAGTGCTAGAGGTTCTGGGTTCAATCCCCGGCAAGGGCTGGGATTTTTTCACGTGGACTTGGACTCCTAGTAATTTTCCCCAGTCCCTGGGCAGTGAGATCGGTTGCTCGTGTGAACTGTTGCGCACGAAAAAAAAAACCTTCGCAGATGGAAATCAAAAAGAGCCTAATGGCGCTGCCCGGGTAAAATTTTAAGTTTAAAACACCTCAAGGATGAAATGCAAACATGAGCAAATCTCAGAAACCTTGTTCAACCGTTTAACACAGTTATATTAGCGTACCCTTACAGTTAGTTACCTGCAGTCCAATGTGGGGGAAGGGGGGAAGAGTGTAACAAATCTTCTTATACTTAAGACTACAATCACAAGTAAAAGTACTTTCACTCGTTCTCCCCAGGCGGACTGATTGATGAAAACACCGTTGCCTTTGTCTCAAGCATATCAGCCAGTTAATGCCACAGGAAAGAGCCTTGCTACGCTCACCATTGGGGGGGGGGGGGGGGGGTGTGTGTGTGTGTGGTAATTGTACACTCACCTGTAGGTGTGGTAACTGTACATTCTCTGTAAGGAAGCCTGTTGAGTCCCTCTTCAACAACCAGCCGAATCTGTAATTTGCAAAAACATTTAAACAACTATAACACCGTGATCTACAGAGAGATATGGACATTTCAGCTATCTCAAGATGATGCTATTCTTAACACTCCAGCCTGGGCAATTGTGGTCCTAAAATCATGACCAAAGTCTCTGTTAGATGCTTCCTTTGGTTATGCACCCTACCACGTGTCAAGGGCGTATGATTTGCTCCGGCCACATAAAAGAGCTCCCTAGATGTTAACAACGATTACTGGTTTCTCTACAGAATACTGAGGTAGCAAGCCCATTTGGAGTACCTGATCTGGCTAACACCTTTCTCCAGCACCTGTCCTGCATACCATGTTCATTTCTAAGTTTGGAAAGGAGAGGAGAGTTTTGACAGTTCCCCAGAGGATGTTACTTCAGTATTAGGTCATAAAGATCCTTTGTCGGTTCCAAGGTCCCATTTTGGGGGGGGGGGGGGGGGGGGGGGAGTCAAAAGAAAACGGATCCAGGTCCCCAACAAACATGCTATAAATGGGGTTTTCTTAAATTGGATGTGTTGAGACAAAAGGTGCGGATATCACAACCTAGATGTCAACAACACAAGGTACCAAGTGCCCTTGTAAAGGCGAACATGGAAGAAAAAGGCCATGAAGACAGTTTCTACATCAACCTCACTCTGGCAGACACAAGCGCACATCCGAGTTCAGACGACCTGGACATCAATGCACACTCCCATAACAAGCAGCTCATTAAACTAGGTTTTCCAGAGTTCTTTACATAACACTTGTTTATCTCTGGTGCAACTACAGTGCAGACTGCTTAAGGCCATCTTGGATGCGGCAAATTTCTGTTGTGAAGTACAATATGTGTATCGCCAGCAATTTTTCTTGCTTGAATTCTTATCTGGATGAGAGGAATTTGTGGACCATTTCTTGGATCCCCAGTGAGTTATCATATCTGCACTGTGGTAAACAATTTCCCCCAAATTTTGTGTTCACAATTATTTATTTATTTATGTGCATTTATGTAAAACCACTGCCCCTATGGAAGCTCAAAGGACAAAGACATTTAGTGAAGCAGAAAGAGAAATGTGTCAGAAGTCAAACAATTATTTGCAAAACTGACTCCCCAAGCAGCATACAATAGGGCAGTGTAGCGACATGAACTGCAAACATGAAAAAAGCTGGTGTCAAGGACATTTAACTTCAACAGGCTTTAGTTTATTTGCTACAGCTAATAGAAGGTCGTCATGACACACTGACATATGTTTGCTTAGTTGTTTAAGAACAAATGTCAAAAAGGTGTAATGCATCACTTGTTAACATCATAAAGGCATGATGGGAACACAGAGCTGCAACCAATCTGTTGCTGAGCACAAGCGTGTGAAAGTTATGCAAGAAATGTCAATGTGTGTGCATATGTGTGTGATAATATGCACATGTAAATGCTATCAACAAAATTATAATGTGAGGTGCTTAGCTCCCTTCTGTTTCCATTTTCAAATCAGATTAGGCCCTAATTAATTAAACTGCAGTTGAGGCATCAGATGCAGTCTGTACTGGATGCACTATAAGATCACATAGACACAGAGATCAGTGACAAAAATAATCCGCATTTTGTCTCACAGAACGGATAAGAACAATTTAGTCAGTACCCTACTACTAAAAAAAAAAAACTTTTCATTATAAATAAGAGAATTTAAAGAATAAATTCTTACCAAGCGGTCAGCGTAAAATATGAAGTCTTTTCTTATGGTTGTTCTGAAAGAAAATAGAAAAACAATTTAAAAACCTTTATCAAGCTAACTCTTGAGTCCCAAGGAATGCACGACTCACTAATCGGTTACTCCCAAGCCATCAGGGATTGATGCGTTCAGATTTATTTACAACTGACCAGTATAGCAATGCAAACGGCAGTTTTGAATGGTATTTCCTATTCTTTATGTTCGTGGTTACATGTGGTAACCATTCCGAAAATTAAAATTTGTGGTTAAAAGCATAAAATTTAGCATGTCTGTGAGCTTTATCGAGTTGCTAAGTGTCTATATAAAAACAATATGGCCTTTTAGCAGACTTCCTCATGCATGACAACAAGATGTATGACTTTAGAAGCCTCACATTTAAATAAAAACATGTTTATAAAATTTATCCGAAGCTGGACAAAGATAATTATGAAGCAGACTTGTTTCAGTCACTGATAGACAAACTTTGATAAAGGATAGCTCCGATATATACCTCACACAAATCCTACAACGATAACAAAATCAGCTGCTTCAAAGAGAAACATTTTAGTGAAAAGGGCAATATTCGGCAGTGTCAAGTCTAGTGTGATTCCCTTATTATTTGGGTACAAGGCTTGAAAATTAGGACAAACTGAGGGTTACATGAAGTTCTTTTTGTGTGAAAATACTAAATGTTTTAGGAGGTGATTTTTCTTTACCAAACAAAGGTACTCTGTTTTGACATTCTAAAAGCTTCTCTGGAACAAGATCTAATGGACATATTGTGTTTAAATTTGACTTATACATTACTAAGTGGTTCATGTATTATTTGTGATTCATTTTGGACATATTTTATCAAGTTTTCCTTGAGTGTCATGGTAGAAATTGGAAGAATTATTTACTAATTTCTCTAAACATACCATCTGTTTATTATTTTTGTAGCAGTATTTTAAATTTCAGAACAATCCCTAGTCATTCTGTTTTAATGGGTTACACATGTGACATTTCAAAATTGCATTACAACCCCTTGGGCCCGCGATGCTAAACACCCTGGGACTCAAAGAGTTAACAGGCAACCTTACACACATATTAGTAACGGTTAAGGTCCCTTTGCAGCAACTGAACGATGGGGAAACAGTAACTAGGGAGCATAACACTCAGAAGAAAGGCAAGACATTAATCAAATCAGGCTGGTTCTGATACCACGGCCACAGCTACATCAGCTGCAACAGATGAGGGACAGAGCTCTTATGGGAATGTCCATGCGGGCTGGAATGCTGTATCTTGACCTTACACTTACACTGCAGATTATTAACACTTTCAGTTTCAGGAGATTTAAAGCAAGTGCCCAGATGAAACAATAACCATCAAGCAAAGGAACGAGATGAGTGCACGCTTTTTTATAAAAGCAACAGATTCTGTACGGTTTAAAAAAAAAAAAATTTTATGCCACTGGTGTAACCAGTATATGATATAAGATCTATATTTGTATAGACATAGACCAATAAGCACCCAGGGGATGATGTGGTCAAATCCTGCTAGCAGCCTTTACTTCCCATGACACTGCCTTATACCCTTTTTAGGCCGGGTCTACATGGAAGCCAAACTCAATTTTGAAGAAAGAAAAATCTTTCTCTGCAGATTTGAATACAAGATGGTCTGTTGGCAGGACAGCACCCCGCAACTACATTACCACGGTCCCCAACATATACTATGCTATGTACATATACTATGTACAAGATGAAATAAGCTGATCGCACATGGCGTGGGAAGGAAATAAACAAACAGTAAATAAAGATCTATTTTCATTCCATATGCAAATGGACACTGATGCGAGTCCTCGTAATTTTCTAGACCAAACGCTACTTAGGTGATTTGGCCTTGATGTCCAATTTTAAACACCTGCTTGTCAAGATATCGGTCACTTTCTTTGTGACAGCCTAAATAGCTGTCAAACAGCTTGAATATATATATTTAAAAAAGTAACAGTAAAGTGAGGTTAGCTAACATTCCCAGTTTGTCTGCAAACTGAGCAGGTGTAGGCCCCATTAATGTTATGCAAATGTTGGACATTTTGAGGGCAAAAGTTCAAGCATCATTTTATAAATTCTGCAGTTACATTCTGTTGCCTCATATATTCACTGTATTTAACAGGTAGCATTTTAGTCTGTTATATCATGCTTTGAATTGGAAGACTGGTACTTGTTCAATTTAGTCAAACAGTAAGATGTATCATCTTTCTGATATAAACTGCATTCATCAGAAAGTCACATTTCACATAACTATGTGTGCTGACCATGATCCTGTCATGGTCATGTGATAAGTACTGATCGATGACAAAAAGAGCATGTGCTTATTCTGTGATATATTACAGTTTATAGTTAAGATGCTTTGATTCCAAGAAGTAGAGAGCATCAAAGATATAAATGAACAGACAACATAGAGAGCATCAAAGATATAAATGAACAGACAACATAGAGAACATCAAAGATAAAAATAAACAGACAACATAGAAAACATCAAAGATATAAAGGAACAGACAACATAGAGAGCATCAAAGATATAACTAAACAGACAACATAGAGAACATCAAAGATATAAATAAACAGACAACATAGAGAACATCAAAGATATAAAAAAAAACAGACAACATAGAGAACATCAAAGATATAAATGAACAGACAACATAGAGAGCATCAAAGATATAAATGAACAAAGAACATAAAAAGCAAAGATATAAATGAACAAAGAACATAGCATCAAAGATATAAATGAACAAACAACATAGAGAAGATAAAAGATATAAATGAACAGACAACAGTGACAAAGGAAGAAGTGTTAGCCACAGCCAGCTCAACTCCAAGACCTATATATGTTTAATCCGGATAACCAGGTCGCATATTGCAGGTGTCAGCTTGTGCGTGTACTTCATGCTACAGGCTGCAAAATCAAACCATGCATGACAGAGGTAGTGACTAACATAATGACAGCCAGGACAGGACAGCGTTTCTGTTAGCATAGGCAGCGTGTAACTTGAGTATGTTTTGTTTGATTGAGACTATGTTTCGGAAGATACATAATGAAACAGCACACTGATACATAATTACTGTAGGACAACAGACAGCTTGATCGTGTAAACACGTTTCGAAAGATAAAATAAAGGGTGACAAATCAAGCTAAAATCAAGAAACTGAACTGTGCAACTAAGAAGCTTAATGAAATGAAGGTAGGAAGAGGGGAAAACAAGAACAATCAAAAAATTTTGCAGCAGCCTTTATCAACAAAAACCACAACAACAGGAGGGGAAGGTCTGATCACTGAAGAGGTATGTGACAGATTACCTCTATAACTACTGGAATAAAAAAGGCAGACTGTTATATCAAAATACATAAAAAGCGTGACAGCCAAAACTGTTTATGTCTGGCATTTGATGTAAGCTGGGAGACAATTCCCATGTAAGTTGTTGTTGGAGAACATAAATATGTTCAGTCCACTGCAGATGTGGCCCAGTGTTTCTCAACTTCTTTACACCTGGAGCCTATCAGTTGAAGAACAATGGTGTGGCCAGTTGGTAAAAGTCAAATCATGGAAATTTTTATATCTGCAGCCTATCAGCTAAAGAACACTGGACCTTTTTCACACCACTGGCATTTCAGGCATGTGGGGCTAGACCCATAATTTTACAGACTAATCGCTACTTGATGTGGTCATCATCTTGCCGGCTGCCTTGATTTCTCGGGACATTTTCTGGTACTCATTTTAGGCCAGGTCAACAACATGGTAGCCAAACTCAATTTTGACAGAAAAAAAATCTTGTCTTTCTATAGATTTGAATAGAAGATTATCTGTTGGCAGGGAAGCATTCAACAACTAGATTACCGTAGCGCCCAACATATACTATGCTGTGTATTAAAATATTCAACCAGATCTGTTTACTATCTTTAGAATATATGTAAAAGATGACAGACTGAGTGAGCGACTGGCTGAGTAGTTACAACATCGGGCTCTTGAACAGAAGACCTGGGTTTGACCCCCCCCCCCCCCCCTCCCGTAAGTTGATGGTGTTTTTTCTGTTAAGGACAAAAACTAAACATCCTAACCTGCACAGACTGTGGCGACAGTGCAAGCCATGCAGTCCTACATCAACAGGCTCATGATCCCCCTGTCTACACTGCCAATAAGAAAAGGTAAAACAGTCTGTTGTTCAGCAACAAAAGCTGATTATGTGGCTCGGTCAAGCTGGGAGTCCTGGGTTATATTTAAAAATGATGTGCATTTGAACCCATGACCTTTGAGCAAACAGGCAAGTAACTAGCTGCTGCACTACAGTGTCTCCAACTGTGGCAGAGTGCCTGTTTGTGCACCCTGTAACTGGGGATTTCCAGTGGCTGTTATCTCCCATTTTCAGCATTTGCATTGCTGGCCTCTCTTTCGATTCACGTTCATCATTACTCGTGGTATAATTTTTGTTGGCAACTGAGTTAAACGGTTGAGCCTTTTTACTTCTTTTTTTTTTCCCTCTGTAATACTACTACTAAAATTTGCAGATGCCATTATTTCTGATCTCTCTTCCTGATGTTGAGTTATCTTGTCATGAATCTCACCTCAGTTGTAATTTTACTTTTCCATTTCTTTTTGTCTGTCAGTGTCCAAGTGTGGCACTGGTAGCACAGATTTGACAAGCTTGTTTTATAGAAAGCTGTTTTACTTATACATATTCCCTTCTCAAGAGTGGTGCCTTTATGTCGAGTTAGTCTGCTCTTTTCTGTTGTCGCTCTCATCTTCTAATTTGCCAGCTGACAATGTGCTAGCCCTCGCGAGGCATTAATAACTTACTTACAATCAATCAGAAATGGTTAATTGCTTCAAATCAGCAAATTAATCATTCAAATTTCACAGTACTGTTTTGGCATCTACATCTTCAGGAGGGGGGGGGGGGGGGGGGGGAGACAGGCAAAAAATATAAATATATTTAGAATAGTTTCTGAAGTGTCAAAGGGGCTTTATTAGTAATTAAAACATACTGTATCATTCATAAACTATTGTGAGCCCATTGTTCAGGCAGTATATAAACACACTAACTAGAAGATAGCACTTCATATTCTTATCTTTTGGGTGTCACTGGCTACAGGACAACAAATGGGACTTGTTTTGTTTTTTCCCCCTAATGACTAAGGTTCTTCAATATAAATGTTAGCTGATGAAATGTGCAAATAAGTAATAATTTTCATCACAGCTTTTTAAACATGTTCATTCACAAACCAATTTGAGAAAATTGTTCATACACTCCTTACTTTCTCATAGAACACTAGGCTTGAAGACTAGTAATAATAGAATACAAAATACAAGTGGTAAATGTGTCTTCTCCTCTTCTGGCCGGCATCTCGTCAATCAGAACAGGCCCTCAGCCAGAAAAAAAAAACAACCCAGAAAGCCACAAGCGGATTTTATCATCCGGCTGGGTTTTGTGGCCAAACATTTCTGCAGGATAAACCACCTAGTCATAGAACACAGCCAGTCAGGCTTAACAACTATCAACACAGGCATCTTGATCCCTAAAAGATCATCTCATAGCAAAAGGGTGCCCAAGAAGATCTGCTTATCACATTAAAGATATTAAACAGCCACATGCAGTGACAATCATGGCTAGTGCCACTCAACAAGAAGCTGACACAAAATGTCTCTTACCACAAATTCTCAATAGTAGAAATGCAAATTTATCATGATGTAGGCGATACTACGATTAGACTTGATGTCTGAGGGCTGCAGTCGCAGCGCAGTCGCCACAAACTACTTCGCCTTCACCAGCTGTAATTACTAGCAGAAAGTCTGTGTGCTGATTTTTGGCTATCCTCCGAATAACCGTCCTAAATTATCGAGGCGGAAAATATACCCTAACAGGGCGTCAGTCACTTGTCAATTTTGCACTTTCGGGGACTATAAGTATCACCGCCGCGAATCTGGCGAACTGTTGCGCAGCTGCTTGTGAGTCCCAGTCATCTAGTTTAGCCCCGATCCAAGCCGCATGAGTTATAGATACTCTCGGCGGTGACGGAAGTGCGCAATTGACATGTCACTGAGGCCCTGTTAGGGTATATTTTCGGCCTCGATAATTTAGGACCGTTATTCGGAGGATAGCCGATTGTTTTGTGCCTCTCAAGAATATGCACTAAAACTTCAGAGGAATCCTCGATTTATTTTACTTTTACTTACAACATGTCTTTTTAGATAGGTGATGGGTCTGTTCTTGTTTTCCACCACAATAGTGCCCCAAAACCCACACAGTGGGTTCTACAGAACTGGGGATTTCATAGAAATAAAAACACACACACATGGATAGTTATAGGTACAGGTCATTTTGTTCTGGTGGTAATACTAATTAACAGTACACAGTATCAGCAACGTTTTCCCCCCAGCCCAGCACAACTGTAAAGCTAATAATTATATGGCTAAGTACCTGCACCTTTTTTTCTACGTGAAAAACGCTTTGGATAGATAGATATATGGGCTTCTTACGAATACCAGTCCCAAATTATTTACTATTTAAAAAATCCCATTTAGGGCCTTAAGAGGTCATATAGTTTAAAATATGGAACAGGAACGCTACAAACTATGCTTCGTGTTATTATATAATTTCATGGGAACCCAACTCTCGAGTCTTCGGTAGTATAGTTGTACTTGGGTGATCGGTGTTCGATTCCCCACAGGGTGATAATTTTATTTTTAGCCCTTAAAAGGACAGTTGGGATGTTTTGTTGTGGTTTACAGATAGGCCGGTATTCGGAAGAGTGCAGATATATGAAATGATATTCAGATTTTGGGAATGAAAATTGAGTTCTTGACAGGAGGGAATAGCTGAAAGTGGTGAGTGAGTAAACTAAAAGCCATGCAGCAACACAAGTGGGAGGGCAACATGACTATATAATATAAAGAAGAACCACAGTTTGAGAGTCTGCGCGACCGTTCAGTCAAGTTGCAGCTGACAGTAGTGACAGAATCATTCACGTCGAGAGAAGATGCATTTGATTGTAAGCAAAGCAAACGGCTAAAAGGAAATGTAAATTAAATAAATCGCTTTAAAAAAAATCATAGCAAAAACAATTAACTAACGGGCAATTAACATCCTTTTTCCTGGTCCTATCTCGGCTTAAAACTGCCGCTTATCTTTAACAACCGGCAACGGTCACACACCGGGAAAGAAAAAAAAATCCGCTCATAATAAATAATAATATAAAAATGGGCGTTGATTGATGAATGAGGCAGGTAGTTTTAGATTTTGTTTTTGTTAGATCTAATGATCTATGTCCTTAAAGAAAGACAATGAGCAACTACTATACAATTGTGCCTGCAATATTATTTCAGTCAGAGTAATACACTGTACACATGTCAGCAAAGTCTATGTCAAGTGTACCGCTGACGCGGCAATCCTGGCGAGTAAAAATAGAGAATAGAGAATAGAGTAGAGTAGAAAAGACCAGTCGACGTCTCGTCTGCACTTTCACTTACTTGTCCCTTATCACCGTGTGCAGCTCACGAACTCCATCAGACACCGGCAAACGGATGAAGTTGGATCCAAAGTTGTACGTGTCCAGGCATTTATTGTCGGTTAAAGAGTCCGGCATTGAAATATCCTCGTGTGGTTTGGACAAAGGGATCACATCAGGCTCCATCGTTTGTAAACAAACTGGTTCCCCCTTCTTCCTCGTGGTTCTCGTCACAGCGGCCAGACCGCGACCCGACTTGCAGCCAAAACTGCTACACCCGGATACCTTCTCAGCCAAATATAATTTGTCAACACTTAACTCCTAGACTTCACAACAGTTACTAACAAGGAAACATTTACTACAACAATTTCTAACTGCATAACTTTAAAAAAGGCAAACAGTGCAGAAACCAAACTTCTTCAGTATGCTGTTATCAAATCTACAAGGTGTGGTAACACATTGAGTGATGGCTGGGATTCAAGAGGGACACATCATTCCTTCAGACTAAAAGAGTTAATAACATATACATATCAAAGAGAGTTTATATTAAAAAAAAATAATTTATGTAAAATTGTAATACTTTTTGCACGTATTTATATATGTATATAAAAATATATGTGTTTGTATAATATGCTTATTTTGGCATTACTTTCTGGCAAGTAAATGTAAGTTGGTAATTTTTTTTAAAGTCATAATGGCCTTTTCAAACCATGAATAGCAGGATTGCTTTTATGCTTTTGAGCTGTTGCTATCAAAATATGGAATAAACATTAATATTGTGGTTAGCGTTTGTAAGGAGCAGGAAGTCGATGTGGCATGGTTGTTAGCGAGATGTTTTTTTTTCAGAGTCAAACGACAAAACGGGGATTGAAAGCAAATTGGGCGTTGCGGCTAGAAAGCCTTCGACGGCAAACAAAACAAATAGCACCGTAACTAATTTTTTTGTCTGAGAAGCGATGAAAAGAGATTTGTTTTACAGCTGCATTGTTCAACTTAACGTGTGGTCACTGACTCGTATTTTTACCGTAAACTCTTTTAACCTCTTACAATTTTAGATAGCTATTAAAAGTATGAGGCAAACATAAATATCTAACAGAAAATTTAGAAAATTGGGCGTGGTCTTGTTGTTATTGAACTAATGGTGCCTTGTGCAATATCATGTGTGCAACATCTGAATTGTTGTAACTAGTGCTTTCATCAACTTTTAACTGCAATTCTTGTGTCGAAATGATTTTTGTTGGCATTTCTTAAGGCAACCTTATACATATAATTTGCGTGTATGCTGGTAGCTTTGTCGAGACTGTGGTCAGTTTATATTGTTTCACAAGGGACAGCGATGGGCATTCTGCGGGCTTACCGCTAGCATAGGAACGATTATGAGGTGATTCGTTTGTCGTGTATTTGATATGTAGTGATTCGTTTGTCATGTATTTGATATGTAGTGATTAATTTGTCATGTCTTTGATATGTAGTGATTCGTTTGTCATGTATTTGATATGTAGTGATTAATTTGTCATGTATTTGATATGTAGTGATTAATTTGTCATGTATTTGATATGTATTGATTAATTTGTCATGTATTTGATATGTAGTGATTAATTTGTCATGTATTTGATATGTAGTGATTCGTTTGTCATGTATTTGATATGTAGTGATTAATTTGTCATGTATTTGATATGTAGTGATTAATTTGTCATGTATTTGATATGTATTGATTAATTTGTCATGTATTTGATATGTAGTGATTAATTTGTCATGTATTTGATATGTAGTGATTCGTTTGTCATGTATTTGATATGTAGTGATTAATTTGTCATGTATTTGATATGTAGTGATTCGTTTGTCATGTATTTGATATGTAGTGATTAATTTGTCATGTATTTGATATGTAGTGATTAATTTGTCATGTATTTGATATGTAGTGATTAATTTGTCATGTATTTGATATGTAGTGATTCGTTTGTCATGTATTTGATATGTAGTGATTAATTTGTCATGTATTTGATATGTAGTGATTCGTTTGTCATGTATTTGATATGTAGTGATTAATTTGTCATGTATTTGATATGCAGTGATTCGTTTGTCATGTATTTGATATGTAGTGATTCGTTTGTCGTGTATTTGATATGTAGTGATTCGTTTGTCAGATATGTCATGTATTTGATATGTAGTTATTCGCTTGTCGTGTATTTGATATGTAGTGATTCGTTTGTTATGTATTTGATATGTAGTGATTCATTTGTCATGTATTTGATATGTAGTTATTCGCTTGTCATGTATTTGGTATGTAGTTATTCGCTTGTCATGTATTTGATATGTAGTGAATCGCTTGTCGTATATTTGATATGTAGTTATTCGTTCGCTGGGAAGTTGACATAGGAGCTAATTAACTAAATATCTACGTCTCCATCCCACTCACCTATGCCCCCCTCCCCCACCACCCCACAGCCCCATTTTAAATTTTTAATTGTTGAAACAAGTTAGTTGCGTATTCCTCAGAGGACATTGCAGAACTAACCCTAACATTTTAAGGATGTGTGGTTTTACTGTGAAATTTTACGTTCCGTAGATTGTCATTGCCACTGTACAGTCAGCTCTCGATACCACTGTCGAAATCAACGCAAAGCGGTCCTCTTCCAAATCGCCTGCTACTAGAATCTAATAAAAAGAAATGCTAAAACAAAATACACACACACCATCATTAATTAACAGGTCCTTTACAGAACGTTGCACTCTTCACGGTATGCCTAGATGTCTCTACTTTACTAGCTAATTCTCCAGCCAATACACCAGGGTCAGTCAACCAAGTTTACACACTGGCCAACATGTAGCCAATACATCAGGGTCAGTCAACTAAGTTTACACACTGGCCAACATATAGCCAATACATTAGGGTCAGTCAACCAAGTTTACACACTGGCCAACATGTAGCCAATACATCAGGGTCAGTCAACTAAGTTTACACACTGGCCAACATGTAGCCAATACATCAGGGTCAGTCAACTAAGTTTACACACTGGCCAACATATAGCCAATACATTAGGGTCAGTCAACTAAGTTTACACACTGGCCAACATATAGCTAATACACCAGGGTCAGTCAACTAAGTTTACATATTGGCCAACATATAGCCAATACATCAATGTCAGTCAACTAAGTTTACACATTGGCCAATGTATAGCCAATACATTAGGGTCAGTCAACTAAGTTTACATATTGGCCAACATATAGCCAATACATCAATGTCAGTCAACTAAGTTTACACATTGGCCAACGTATAGCCAATACATCAGGGTAAGTCAACTAAGTTTACACACTGGCCAACATATAGCCAATACATCAATGTCAGTCAACTAAGTTTACACATTGGCCAACGTATAGCCAATACATTAGGGTCAGTCAACTAAGTTTACATATTGGCCAACATATAGCTAATACATCAATGTCAGTCAACTAAGTTTACACACTGGCCAACATATAGCCAATACATTAGGGTCAGTCAACTAAGTTTACACATTGGCCAACATGTAGCCAATACATGAGGGTCAGTCAACTAAGTTTACACATTGGCAAACATATAGCCAATATATTAGGGTCAGTCAACTAAGTTTACATATTGGCCAACATATAGCCAATACATCAATGTCAGTCAACTAAGTTTACACATTGGCAAACGTATAGCAAATACATCAGGGTCAGTCAACTATGTTAACACATTGGCCAACGTATAGCCAATACATCAGGGTCAGTCAACTAAGTTTACACACTGGCCAACATATAGCCAATACATTAGTTCCAGTCAGCTAAGTTTACACACTGGCCAACATATAGCCAATACATTAGTTCCAGTCAGCTAAGTTTACACACTATCCAACATATAGCCAATACATTAGGGTCAGTCAACTAAGTTTACACACTGGCCAACATATAGCCAATACATTAGGGTCAGTCAACTAAGTTTACACACTGGCCAACATATAGCCAATACATTAGGGTCAGTCAGCTAAGTTTACACACTGGCCAACATATAGCCAATACATTAGGGCCAGTCAGCTAAGTTTACACACTGACTGGCCAAAATTTTAGAGCATAGGGATCGTCGAGGACCAGAGGCCTGAGACCCAACAAAGAAAGATCACTAATACAGTATAATTGACAGGTGATCCACTGGCCACATGCTAGGCATCTTCGGGCCAGATTTGGCCCTCGGGCCGCCAATTGAATAGTCCTGCAATACATCTTCAGTGCCTCTGTTTTGCTTTCCAGACACTGTACTTTCCATCACCGTTCTCTTCAGGCCAGTATGAATTCAACATGGCCCAAATACCCCTGCTTCCTAATAGAAACACACACATTCCAGATTAAAGGCTAGTTGTTCAGGCTTCTAGAGAACCCTTGATAATAGAATAACTATAAGGTTTTCCGCTTGGAACCAACAGTTTTTCTGAGAAGAAAATTAGAAGCAGGAATAAATAATATGAGAACACATAAACAGAAGCAACAGACCATGAGTTAGGAGGTGTGTCAAGACAATCAACAGGTGATGCAGCACACAGAGAGCTCTGTCACTCAGACACAGATGAAGCAGTTCAAAAGTTCGTCCATGGAAACGATAAATAGATGAAATATCTGAGGCTCTCGATAAAAGTATCCACGCAAGCACACACCAAGAATCGCAGCAGATGCCTCATCACAAAATGAAAAGCAGAATAGGGATTAGAGAAAAAAAGAAGCTGCAGGGGATACCAAAGGAGAACTTGACGTTAATTGGTTGATAACATTTGCTCTAATGATAGACAAAGGCAGAGTCCTTCCAAACGATCTTATAGCTGTGATCAACGAAAGTTAGATTCAATTAAGACTTTATATCCCAATTCATTGGATAGTGTAGAAAGGGCAATCAAAATGTGTAGAAAGAGGCAAGGGCTTGAAGATGACTTATCACATACATCAGAAAGATACAGACATAATTGTTGGCCATTTTATGAGAAGATGGAAGCTGGCACATGTTGTAACCACTGGAAAGATCTGTGGAAAAGAGACAGATGATGACAACGCGAGAAGATTATTAACAACTTTTTATGGTGGCATGGAATGGTATCAGCTCACAAACTGATACACGCTGTCGAAGATCGTATATTGTGGAAAGGCATCCTATGTTAGTCTGCAAGGCACTTGACGATGATGATATCACAGTACTCGGGGCATCACATGAACGCCCCGTTTCCAACTTTAGCCAGTCTCCAACAACAGGGGTATCAGCTTCAACCTCTGACGACGGGTGTGTCTTTCAGATTATATCCTAATTGCAGAGGAAGCACTGATACAACTAAAATAACAACTGAAATAGATTATTAAGTTAATGTAAATTTGTTCTTCATTTCCTTTGTTATCGCTTCGAGTATCGAGGGAGATACAGGATTATAGTGTTCCTCTGTACGTAACCAGCCACGGATAAAGTTTTAATATAAGATTATGGGAGATATAAATGGCTACCTTGTTATGAATATGGCTGGAGTATAACAGCATAACTTTGGATAAAAATAAAACATTAAAAGTTTTTTGTTTTGTTCGTATGATGGATTTCAATTGTTCCATCAGAACTGATCGTCCTGGTGGCGTTTTATAATTATTGGGTGTATACTCTGTTGAATTGTTTTGTTGTCTTTTGTGTTGAAAATATCTACTTTTCTTTTATTGTCTACTGTATGTTCATATGATAACCTGCGAATGTACTTCTCATGTTGCCACATAATGCGGGGCTTGTGGGCATTGTGGTAAGTTAATACTTCTTTTAATGTTACACAAATAAACACGCAGGACCTGCCCTCGACAGCGACACTCTGACTATTGATAGTGCAAGGCACGGTTTCACAATGTGCAGACAACAACAACAACAGCTACCACCATCACCGCTGCTACTACTACTACTACTACCACCACCACTACCACCACCACCACCACTACTACTACTACTACAAGAACAAAAACTACTACTAACAATAGTAATAACAATAATAATAACAGTAAAACATAAATACAGCAAAACAACAAAACCACCACCATCATTGCTACTACCATTACTACAAATATCACTGTTACTCCCACCACCACTACTGTTACTTCTACTACCACTACCACTCATACTGATACTACCACCACCACTATCACTACCACAACTACCACCTCTACTTTCATCACTACTATCGCTTATATAGTAATAAGTGCTGCTTCTATTACTTCTACCAAAATGACCTTGACTCCCAGGTCGACCTAGCCTTAAGTGGGTACCGGGTGCAGTCCCAGGAAGTAAAGGCTGCCGGCGTGATGCTGACCACATCATCCATCTCGTTCCCATTGGTCTATAATAATATAGGTCTAGCCCTATATGCCCTATTCGCCTAAAGGCGTGAAAAAGGGGCCTTTACTTTTTTACTTACTACCATTACTTTTTTGTGAGGCTGTTTTCTCTTCTACTTCTCTTCTTCAATTTCTTCTTAATGGTTTACCTGTTGTTGCCTCTATCCTCTAATATCCTAGACTACATTATGTGAAAGCTAATACTTCACACGCAAAAAAAAAACAAAACAAAAAACTACAGACCAGAATCTCCATGAAACAGACTAGGTTTTGGAAGAACCAAACCAAGATTTTAAAGAAAGAGACAAAGATCCCAAAAGAACAAAACAAAACAGAGCAAGATCTAAAAGAAATAGATCAAGATCTGAAATAACCAGACCGAGATCCCAAAGATACAGACCAAGACCTGGAAGAAACAGACCAAGTTCCCACACACAAAAACAGACCAAGATCCCAAAGATACAGACCAAGACATGGAAGAAACAGACCAAATTCCCACACACAAAACCAGACCGAGATCCCAAATGAACAGACCAAGACCTGGAAGATACATACCAAGTTCCCACACACAAAACCAGACCGAGATCCAAAATAAACAGACCAAGACCTGGAAGATACATACCAAGTTCCCACACACAAAAACAGACAGAGATCCCAAAGATACACACCAAGATTCCAAAGAAACAGACCAAGATATGAAGAAAAAAAAAACAGACCAAGATCTGACAGAAACACACCAAGATCTTAAAAAAACGGACCAAGATCTGAAAGATACAGACCAAGATCTGAAAGAAACAGACCCCCCCCCCCCCCCCCCCCCCACAAAAAAAAACCACACCAAGATCACAAGGAAACAGACCAAGATCTGAAAGAAGCAGACCAAGATCCCAAGGAAACAGACCAAGATCTGAAAGAAGCAGACCAAGATCCCAAGAAAACAGACCAAGATCTGAAAGAAGCAGACCAAGATCCCAAGGAAACAGACCAAGATCTGAAAGAAGCAGACCAAGATCCCAAGGAAACAGACCAAGATCCCAAGGAAACAGACCAAGATCTGAAAGAAGCAGACCAAGATCCCAGAGAAAGAGACCAAGATCTGTAAGAAACAGACCAAGATCCCAGAGAAAGAGATCAGTGTCTCAGAGAAAGAATAAACCAAACACAAGAGCTAAACAATTAAAACGACCTAGACACAAACACAAATGACACACTAATTAAGTTTAGCAACCAAGGCAGGTCTGGAAATTATCAGGAAGGGAAAGTCCCATGAACAAATCAACAGTACCGGACCAGTAATATCATATGAAACAATGATCGCGGATATGGGGCAGAAGGACAGGAGGACACAGCGGCGCTTACCAGGCAACCACGTCAAGCATGACCATGGAAATAACCGCTGCTTCTAGAGCATTAGCATGGGTATCCGAGTAATATCGACGGACTGGGCTAGTAGATAATGAGGAATCCCTGACACTGACACGATTGCGTGACATGGGAGTAGAGCACAATGAAGCACGTCTATACCGTCTTCGAGGCCGAGATAGGACACAATATAACCAGCTTCTCGTGGGAACAGTTAGTAGAAGTACTTTGGAGTGGCTGCTGCATAGGAGGACTGAGCACACATGGAAATGCCCAATGTGCATTGACGTCGATTGTGATAACATAACAAGAATAGAGAATACCGAAGCAACATTAAAAAAACTAACGAATCTCTGATCAAATTGAAACAGTTAAGGTGGACACGATCTAAGATGGAATAGAAAGTCTACATCAATGCAACATGACGATACAGGACAGAAGGTATTCATCAGCATTATCATGTACCGTGCCGATAAGCATAGGTTGTCATGTTTCGCCATCTAACGTGATCACCAGAATCACGCATCAGCTCAATGCTTTTCTCTCGCTCCATCCATCTGGCCTGGCTTTCCAGGTAGTTATCTAGCCACCTTCCTCTTGATCTCTTTTCATCAATCTTGCCAGCTGATACCAAGTTCTCGAGTTTATTTCTTTTTAAAACATCTCTAACAAACATTGAGAAAAGAGATCAAAGCGAACGAAAAGTATATAAGCAAACTTCACAATATAACAAATACAAACAAAACGTGAACGTTGCGGCTATTGAGCCTTCATCAGCACATACAAATGAAACAATACAACAAACATTGACTGTCTACATCTAATTGATTTAAAGCTTTTGGAGATTCAAAATACTTGACCCTTAAGGCGGAGGCCAGACTGTGGCATGACTTACTTAGGGTGCAGAGACCATCTTCCCCCTAACAACCTTGTCACAAAAGGCGACTAACTAAAAGTTTTTTTCGTCAAAGTTATACTTGTGTATATTACGGGCCGAAAACCAATAGTTTACATACAAACAAGCCAGATCTGTAAAACTGATATGCATGCAACACTCAAGTTCTTGAACAAAGCCAAAGTCTTGAATTGGACGAATAATCAGAATTTTCCACCGGAGTTAAACGCTATTAATACTAATAATAATAATAAAAAGAAAAGGACAGAGAAGAAGTTCGATAGCAAGCGGAGGTGGCTCCTCATCATACAGAACTGCGGGTTACATTCTTTTAAACCGCAATCAATTCAACCGTAGCTGATCGTTAATCAAAATACTTTTACGATCATTTGTAAAATACTGTTTAAACACAGTTACCTTTATTTAATTTATACTAGTTTGCAATATATATTGATAATAATTTGTCAGAATGAATTTAAACGATTACAATTTTATAATAAAATTAACTTCGCCACGACCAACTTGAAAATGGGCAGGTGGTTTAACAACACTCCTGCAGCCTCGCGACCATCAAAGCGTCAAAATGGCGAACGGACAAGCACAGACTTTATCAACTTCTAACCCGCAACAGCCCAGAAAAGGTATTCTCTTTTATGGTTTCAAGTCAATCTACAGCATTCCTTGTTTGTGAGGAGATAAGAACAATTTTTCCTACTAAATAATGCAAAATGAAACCTCCATAAAGATATCAGTTAACAATATAAAATTATTTCTCAATCCTGGTATGGCGACTGTAGCTACTTCAGTCAAATTTTTAAAATGCCCTCTACACCAATAAAACCAACACAGTTAGATAGCTGTAAACAATCTCTTTCCAATGGTACCTCATTTAGGCTTGTATGTCATTTCTGACCTGAGATATGTAGGTTTTTGTGGAGATGAGATGTAAGAAACAGCCGCTAAAACTTGTGACCCAGAAACAAGAAGTTTTTTACTGCGCAACCTACTGCGCAGTTCTGTATCGGCTTTGTTGACATTGGACTGTCATTGGACAAGATGGCAGGCAGTGAGACTCAGCTCACTCAGCCGCATGCGATTGCCTAAAAAATGTCACTGTAAATCTAAACAGCCAGAGTCGGGAAAAAAAATTTAACATGCAAATGTAAAATTGGACGGAGAATTCAATTGTAACTAGCATTACCACAACTGGTAATGTTTAAGCCTAAAGCCAACCTCGAATTTACCGCTATTTTCAATCAAACTGATAGACTAACAGAAAAACAAAGAATGTCCGGCTGTCGTAGACATGCGCTGTTAATCGGGTTCCTTCCCGCCGTTTTCAGCTATTTAGAGTGGGTGAAAATCACACCAATGGCAAAATTTCATGAGAGATTAGAACCCATCCCGAAACCCCAGCCGACATTTCCGAAACAAGTTTTAAACGGTTTCTATGGTAACGGAAATTGTCGAAAAGATAGCAAATTTCCGGATCTGTGGTCCCTAGCGACTGGTACTACTAGACTAGTACTCCTGGCTTTATACTTAGTATAATACTATTAGATGTTAACGTCTGTAGTGTAGACTGTTATCTGGCATAGAGGCTAGTGAAATAGTTTCACAGTGAAATCCTTACCAGGGTTCGATTCCACTAGAAGGAGACATTTTTTGGTCATGTTATGAAAGGAGAGAAAATGGAACACATGTTGTGATCACTGGAAAGATCTGTAGAAAGAGAGACAGAGGAAGACAGCATGAGAAGATTCTTGAAAGTCTTTTGTCATGGCATGGAAGGGTGACAGCACACGAACTGATACACACAGTTGCAGATTGTCGAGAGGCATGATCACCCACACCAGTCGGAAAGGTGATGATGATGATTTTAAGTAAGTTCACAAAATGTCTCAGCAAGTTCATCTGTGAAAGATGTCAGGATTGATTATTAAAAATATCTTAAAATGATATCCAGTGAGGTCAGTCATCTATAAAAGGTATGAGCCAGTTCTGATTGGTGGTGGACAGAACTGTGTTTGTGAGAGGGGGGCGGGGGAGATAAAGGCGGTGTCACGGGAAGGGGAGAGTACACATACATACACTGTCATAATTTTTGATATTCACTTAAATTCTAGTGTTGGCGTGATGTTGACCACATCACCCACCGAGTGCCGATTGGTCTCTAAAATTATAGGTCTAGCCTTCGATGCCTGATGTGCCAGGGGCATGGGAGGAATAATTTATAACAAAGTAATTTATTGTCTGTTAGATAACATCCGTGTGATGTGTCTACGATCAATGCGGCCAGAAAAGCAGGAAGCAGAATTTTACATTTCCCTCGGGAAAGTGGTAAAAGAGGAACTGAAGAAGAAGAATCTATTGTCTTGATAACACTGGTTAGTTGTGTATCCTTTACAGGGCGTTGCAGAACCAACCCCAACAGCCCCTGGCTGTTGTGTGGTTTTTCTAGGCAAATTCACGTTCCAGTAGTTTGCCATTTCTTTCTGGACGGTCGACTTTCTTGATACCATTGTCGAAACTAACGCAAGGCGCATGGCCTGCAGCTGGGATCGAACCTGGCATCCCAGCATTACGAAGCGTTTGCATCGACTTAGCCACAGAGCCGACATTGATAACACTACAGTTTCCAAATTGTTTCCTTTTTCTTTTGTAGCACCTTTTAACATTTATTGATGGAGACTGATCGATTACCTGTGGGTAGTGATTTTGTTAATCCAGAGTAATATATAGCTGGGAATTTATATTTTGCATTTACTTAGCATTTACAAATTACATTTGAAATATTTATTTTCAGGCCGGTCACAAGTTGTTGTATCCTTTTCATAAGAACATAGTTACCTCCCTTTTCTCCCAGCCAATTGCTACGTCAGATCTTTGTACATGTAGATATTTTTTCCTGGTGTTTTTCTTTATAAGGGTGATTGACACTAGTGTTGTGATTTATAGCTGGACTGTGATATCTGTGCCTTTTGGCCCACCACATCAGATTTCAGCAAACTGCTAATTAATCACTTTTGATGCTATGCTTGTCAGAGGCAGTGGGTCTGTTCCCTCCTCCCCAAAAATGGAGCTCCAGAACTTACATACTTCACACAAACACACAGGACAGTTAACATTGCTACGGCTAGAGAGCCTTCATTGGCACAGTAGATAAATATACAATACCACAGATACGAACAAGAATTCCCAAAATCACTTAACTGAAGTATCGCCAAGAGGAATCATATATCTATCTGGCCTGTTGAATATCTGACACATGTGTGACTACCAGAAACAAATACTAGCCAGAAAAATGCTGTGAATGGCAAGGACTAATTCAGAAGTATCAGATAAAACTGTCTTGGATGTTAAGTCCCTTGGACTAATTGGAGCCAATTATAGACAAGAAAGTTTTAGATAAATATTCAGACTCTATCATTGAAGTGGCTAGATTTGATAGCCATAACCTCCATGTTGAGGATTCCATGGTGACTCTGAGAATTGAAATGCAATGGCACTAGTTTGAGAACCCATTCTGCACATCAAAAAGATGTTGCCTGTTGAGAAATGTAAACAGTAAATTAGATGTTTCAATTCCATTTCTTGAATTATTTCAAGTGTGTTGTGCTAGTCCCCCACATTTTAAAGACAAATCGATAGATGATGTCAGTGTCACGCAGACTGCTCTCACATTCCAGATTATTTTGTGACACCTGATATTGTATTACATTGTGTTCCCTGTGTGGGTTCCTCGGCTCGGTTATGGGGGTGGGGGTGAGAATGGAACCACTGCCTCCCTAACAAGCGTGTCGTAAAAGTCAGCTAATTAGGAATGTTTCCTTGGAAATCAGAATGCATATCTGCCTGGGAGGTGGAGAGCCAACAGTCTGCATACAAATAAGTCAGATGTGTAAAACGTGTGTACATACAAAACTCAGGTTCGCAAACAAGACCAAAGCTCAGAAGTGGACGAACAACCATAATGGACCGCTGAGTTTACAGCCAGTGAGCGCAAAGAATATTGTATTGTATTATATTATATTGTATTATATTGTATTGTATTCCTCAATGCCTTGACTACTAACCAGCGATCCTCATTACCCTACCAGATACTCCTGTATCTCAATGGCTGGTATTTTGCCTTCTTCTTTGTCTGTGAGATCTTGCTTTTTGTTTTCAAAGGTAAGCAGTAAGGCATTTGTGAATGTGAATGTTTCTTGTATTGGTTTTGATAGCTGGGTATTAATGGCAGATGAAGGAATACAGGATCTTTACTTTACATGATTGTAGAGACAGAATCTGTTGGAGATCCATTGCAGCCAACCTTTACTGTGGAGATGGCACCTGATTGATTGATTGATTGATTGAGAGAAAGTCAGTGAATTTTGTTTATAAATAACTAATATACAGACTATCAGACCTTTTTCTACATTACACACTGAAAGTCGTCCCCATGTGGGGTGCAGTTTTTTTTGTTATTTGAAGCCCCACCCTGGCTTCTGCCGGGGGCCCTGAATATAGCGGGGGCATAGATATGGCCTAGCCATTGATATGGCCTAATGGCTGAAAGAGGTTTCTGGGACCTTTCCACAGGTGATCCTCATCCACATGGTGGCACTTTGTGTCATTAGGTGTTTATCTCTTGTGTGATGTCCTGGTGGAGTACAACTACCTACCTACCTACCTACCTACCTACTTATCAGAGCTTTTTTTTCCTTCCAGGGAATAAAGGTTCTGGTATGCAGCAGTGTCTGAAAGAAAGGTGCAGGTATTAGCAACAAGTGTTTGTTATGGGTAGTGCTAAAAAACACACACACTATGATGCATTAAAAATAGGTGCCGGTACTGTGTAATGTTGCCTACCAGAAAAGAAAAGCCATGCAAATCATACATGGCTGTAAAACAGGATGAAGGTGCAGCAGAAAGAAATAGCAGGAAAAACAACTTAAAAAAACAACCTGAAGAAATGACAGGAAAAAAGAACAAATGAAACAAAATAACAGGGAGAAAGAACAGAAAACATTGAGGGTGGTAGACTGCAAGACCATTTGAACAGGCTAAGTTCAACATGCAAGAGTTATAACATAAAAATAAATATGACTAAAGATGAATTAATACAGGTGAATAGAATTCTTCCCCATGTGGGTTCCGGGACCCCATTGTGGGAGAAAACAAGAATACACCCACTGCATGCCTAAAAGCCTGACATAAGAGTCGACTAAACGAGTCGGAGTACATCTGCCTGAGAGGCAAGGAACCAACAGTCTGCATGCAAATAAGTCAGACCTGTGAAATGGATCTGCACGCAACACTCAGTTTCTGGAACAGAACTAGTGTCTAGAAGTGGACGACCAACCAGAACATTCTGTCAGAGTTTGAAGCCGATGAACGTGAAGAAGAAGAAGAATAGAATTCCTAGTCTGCTACATATAGTACTTGTCTGAAACAGTTAGGAAATTTAAATATCTAGGAAGTTTATCAGGGGGGACGGGAGAATAGATCAGGAAATATAAAGGTAAGGTAAAGGTAAAAGTTAAAGTCGGGAGATTGCACATGTTTATAAACCATATGTGCTCTGTCACCAGTATGAACATCTGATAAAAAAACTGTCCGCCAGTGTCGCCGTCCGCACACATCTCCGTAGCTACAGCGACGTTCCTCCATTTACCCCAGAGTGTTAACTCTGGTACCCATTACCTAAAGGCTGGGTGAACCCCGGTAACCGCCCGGTTTCGAACAAAGGCCATGAGCTGCAGTGAGTCGCAGCTGGATTTAAAAGCGAGTCTCCTATCAACTGCGCTAATGCGGCCCCCTCAGGAAATAGAAGCAAGATGCCAATGAGCCTGTGCACTTATATACCAACTGCACCATTTTTAAGACATCCAGACGTAAGTATGAGCACCAAAAACAACCAAATTATAAACAATATATTCATACCAACACTGTGCTACTAGTGCAAGACTTGGACAATATCAAGGCTAACCTGCGTAAAATTAATACCTGGGAAATGAGATGCCTAATAAAAGCTGACAACTTAACCATCCGAGACAAAGTTAGAAATGATATTATCATTATTAGGCGGACTGGGAATAATACCATGCAACAAATTCATTGACAAACAGAAAATCAAATGATTTGGTCATCTAGTAAGAAGGCAGCCGAAACAGCTACCCAACACAGGTGCTACACATGACAAAATCTGATGTGAAACCTAGAGGTCGACCTAGGGGAAGATAGATTGCTGACATTTAAGAGCTTCTACATCGACACAGAATGACACAAGCCATTGCTGTACACCAAGCAATGGATCACAAACTGTTCCTCCCCATGAAGCTTAATAGCAGAAGTTGAAATAGATGATGATGAAATAACAGAATAAAACAAAACAACAGAAAGAAATAACACAATGAAGCAATAGAAAGAAACAATAGGAAGAAATAACACAGTGAAGCAACAGAAAGAAACATTTGAAGTAACAACAGTGCAATAATAGAATGGAACAACAGGAAAAAAAAAAATAACAGGATGAACAAAATCATCCACACTTTAGGCAACCATGATAAATCATTTCCACAAACAGAAGACTGGTCTTAAACCTGCTGTTGTCCTGTTTAAATAGTTATTTTTAAGTTTAGCTGATTTTGTGTTTCACTTCTTCTTCTTCTTGTCTCTACTCCTGGAATGCCTCACTGTGTCAGGGTAAGAAGAGATCTCTGAAACGGGCTCTTCTGTTCGCTTCGTACATAGTACTTTTGAGCGTCTCTGATATTTGTGTGGTCCACATTTTGCATGGTCGACCTCTGGCTCTGTTACCGCTGTATCTGCATAACATTGCTCTCTGTGGTGCCCTGTCTGATGCCATTCTTGTAACATGGCCAAACCATTTGACGTGCTGTCTAGCTATAAAGTTCAGTATAGTCGGTTTGTGAGATCTCTTCATTTTCTACGAGCACTAGAATAAGTCACTGCAGGTTTGTTGGACCAGTCACTTACAGTGTTTTCAAACTTTCTAATGCAGAGGTCAACGCTCTCATCGGTGAAAATTCAGACGAAGCAGATGCACTAATCTATACAGACGGATCAGTTATACGCCAAAGAAGAAGCGCATGGGCATTTACAGCACGCTCAGCGGGCAGAACAGTCAAAGAAGCCAACGGCGCCTTCTCCATGACAACCAGCAGCATGACGATGGAGGTGATGGCAGTGACGCAAGCGTTTGCCTGGCTTGAAACACAAAAATACACCCGCATATGTATACTCAGTGATTCAATGAGTATGATCCGGAGGGTTCAGGCAGGTTCAGTGCGAAGACAATGGCTTGAATCAATTCAGAAGTCCACTGTGCGAGGAGTCACCTTTATTTTTGTTCCGGGACACGCAGGCGTCGATGGAAATGAAAGAGCTGACAGATTGGCTGGATCCGCTATCACTACCGACGGTCGGCCTATGGATCATGCTGATATTATCAATGCCCTCAGAGAAATGGGAAGGATAGAGGACTTTGGTGGCAGTGAATCCACATCACTCGCCAGAATGGCAGACTTGGGAATTAAGATCGGCACAGCAAAAAACGAGACGCACACCGGACACGTCAGAAGACTTGTTAATCAACATAGAACTGGTACTATTAGCCATCGGACGTTGGGATTCATACTGAGGGGAGGATCTGAGCACCTATGGACATGTCCGGAGTGCAATGATGATAACCCAACTAACTAACTAACTAACTAACTAACAAACTTTCTAGAGGGGTATTTTGCTTATAAAGTATTAATTTGTTTATTTTATTTAATTGCAACTGACCAGATGAAGCAAAATATGCCAGGCAGTTAAATTATGCAGATTTGTGGTGTCCTCCTTTTTTTAAATAACAAATTTAAACTAACATTGTTTTAAGCATATTGACAATGTGGGTAATATCATGTGTTGTTTATGTTTCCTTAGGTCAGACGTTGCCGTATGCTTCAAATGTTTTAGCTGCCGAAATCATTTTGCTGTTCTTGTTAGCAATAGTGGAAGCCCTTCGTTTGTTCTTTGGTGAGTTGTTCCGCTGCTTAACTTAGTGTTCACGTGAGGCTTAGATGTGGAGTGTCCTAATCTAACTCAAATGTGCCAGGTTTGAACGTATCTAAGGACAGTATCATCAGGACTCATTCTTAGCACAGTATTTTCAGAACAGTATGCTCAGTACAATAATGCTATAGCACAACATTGTCATGGCAGTATTCTCATGGCTGTATTCTCAGGACAATCAGCTAAAGACAGAATTCTCCGAATAATAATGTCAGAACAACATTCTCATGACAGTATTCTCAGGACAGTAATATCAGGACAGCATTTCCATAACAGTATTCAGAGGAGACTATTCTGAGGACAGCATTATAAGGACAGTATCCTCAGGACAACATTTTCAGAGCAAAATTCTAAATACAGTATTTGCAGGTTAACGTTCTCACAGCAGTCTCATTGAAAAAAAAAAAGCCAGTGATGTCATAGCCGATCAAACGCCTGCCATTCTTTGATAATGTTAAATGACTAGGACATTCCACATACAAATAGCATATGTTATAATTTCACTCAGTCTTGTTGCATTGCATGGAGGTATGTCAGCACATGAACTGATACATGCTGCAGAAGATTGCAGATTGTGAAGAGGTATGATCATCCACGCCAGTCAGCAAGGCACCTGATGATGATGATAATTCCACAAGCATTTATATCATGCAACATTTGTTGGGTACCCCTTAGTGCTTTTATAGTAGCTCTTTATTAACTATTAAATTTTCAATTGAGAGGCTAGATTGGTAGGGTGGAAATATGTAGCCAAAAAATGACTAGTTCAAATTAAAACTAGGACACTAATTTCAGAAAAGGCCAATATGTTTCAAGTTTATACTGACCATGTGTACTGTCACCATTAATTTTCATAACATACATGGATAAGATCACTGTAGAAGCAAACCCAGACGTGTATGCTATAAACGAATTACTTTTTGCTGATGATCAAAGCATACTGTATCAAAATGAATATAATCTACAGGAACATCTGACTAATCTCAACAACAGCTGTTTACAACATAATATGAGAATCAGTACAGAAAAAACAGAAGTTATGAAGATCAGCAGAACACACAGGCCACTGAATATAAATGTTGGAAGTGCCAAAATCAAGCAAACCAAAGAGTTCAAATACTTGGGCAGTATATTTACAGAGGATGGAAGAATGGACAGAGAGATAGAAACAAGAATACAGAAAGCAAATGCTGTCACATACCAACTATCACCTCTGCTTAAACATCCAGATATAACCATGAAGACCAAAAGACAATTGATAAACACCATCTTCATTCCAACACTCTGCTACCAGTGCCAGACATGGACAATCAACAAGACCCATGAAAGAAAAATAGAAGCCTGTGAAATGAAATGTCTAAGAAAAGCAGCGAATAAGACCAGACTAGACAGGATAAAGAACATAGACATTAGAAACACTGTCAAAACTACACCATGTTTAGACTACATATAACATCAAAGAATGAAATGGTTTGGACATCTAACCAGGATGAAAAATGACCAAATAACATCACAAATTTTCAACCAAAGAAGCTCAGGATATAAGGCAAGAGGAAGACCAAGGTAACGGTGGATTGACGGGGTCTCCGAAACCTGCCAAAAGCATGGCCTCAGAACATCAGATGCTGCCCGCCTTGCTTATGACAGGAACTTGCATCTCCCCACAACGCTTAGCGGCATACGTGGAAGGAAAAAGTAAAGTAAAGTAAGTACTGACCATGACCTCTGGTCATCTCTGTCTAGGACAACATGGCCAGAGTAGCCTGGCCAGTAAAGATATAATCAATGCTGGTCTCCATTGGGATATAAATTATCAACAATTCTGTTTATGCTTGTTATAAAACTGGAAAGGAGTCACAACTGAATACAGTAGATATGTAAGAGACAACCCAAAGGAGACAATTCAAACATAAAAAACAACCCTGCTAGAAAAAGAAGAAGAAGAAGAAGGAGTGTCAGACACTGGAAAGCAAAAGTTACACACATAAATATTCATATGGTAGAAGATACAGAATTGAGGAGTGGCTGGCCAAGCGATTACGATGTCGAGCTATCAGCTATCGATAGATCCGGTAAGGTGATGGAATTTTTCTGTCAGGGGCAGAATTAAACATCATAACCTGTACAGTCCGTGGCAACAGCACCAGCCATGCAGTCCTAAAACCCTCAGGCTCACGACCACCTCCCTCCCCCCCTCGTCTACATTGCCCTAAAAAGTGGTACAAACAGACAGTAGTGACTGTGACAGAAAATCCGTCATCTGACATGAGGGTAGCAGTGCCACCTGGTGTGTTAGCTTCTAGCTCCATAGTTGGATCTAAAATGAATGATTCTCTTCCGTATGGTTAATTAAGAGCTGCTGACCCACATGTGGTGGTGCACCTTGACCAGGGTTTGTACTGGTCAAGAAATATTTACGTCTCTTTGTGGTCAACTGAGAATTTTGTTCCCAGCTTGAGGCCTGGACCGGTATAAATAGAAACAAGGTTTCCTTCAGAGTTGTGTTGCATCTGCCCGCCCATGAGGCAAGGAACCAACAGTCTGCCAGATCTATAAAATGAATATATGTACATGCAAAACTGAAGTCCTGCAGCAAGACCAAAATCTAGAATTGGACTTCATGTTTTTCCCCTGGAGTCTACGTCCCGTAAACACAAAGAAACAGAATATATGATTGGTTACAGCTTTCCTGTATGATTGATTTCCGTGATGCTCATTGAACAGGACAAAAGGGCAACCTGACAGAACAGATTGTTGGTGTGCTAGTGTGTGTGATCTTGAGTATCCCCACCGTGTTTGGTGTTCTGTTCTACCTGCTGTGGCAGACGTACGTGCTGCGTGTGGAGATCATCCTCACAGCCATACAACTCTTCTTCATCGGCATGGAGTTTATCTTAAGCATTATCTCGATTATCACATTTGCCAAGTAAGTGCAGTAAAGTCTTAGTTTTTATAAACATTTCTTATTTTCTTGACTTACACACTTGATCCAGCAGTAGAATTTTATTGCTAAAATTGTCTAACTTTTTGTACTTGACGCTTGTTTTTTTTTTTTTTCTTCTTCTTCTTCTTCTTCTTGTTCACTGGCTGTAATATCCTGCTAAAATTATGGTTGTTTGTCCACCTAGACTTTAGTCTTGTTCCAGAAATTGAGTTTTGCATGCACATCCATTAGTTTTTTTATAAGCCTTGCTTTTCTGTGTTTAATTTGCAAGCAGACTGTTGGTTTCTTACCTTTCAGACCAATGCACTCCGAACATGAAGGAAACAACCCTTAAGTAGACTTTTACTACATCCTTGTGTGTGTGTATGTGTTTGTGCGTGCGTAAGTGTGTGGTGGGGTGGGGGGATTAGTTTATTCTTTTTTCCACCCTTAAAAGGGATCCTGCGACTGTCCCGAGGGGTCCAGATTAAGTTTTCCAGAGGTATTACCAACGAGCCAACTCTACCAAAAGTGAAACTGATTTAAGTAAAAGACCCTTTCCATGATTTTGACAACGGGCAAATGATGCTAAATCCATATTCTTGTGGACCAGTTGGTACTCAGTGGGTGATGTGGTTAACATCATCATGGCCGTCTTTACTTCCCAGAGAAGCTTGTATGCATTACCCCAAGAGCTCAGGGAAGAATAACTAATGGATAATGAAGATGAAATGTCTAGTTGTATTCCAGATTTACAGCTGTGATTTCAAACCTTGTTTTTTGTTGCAGGGGTTCACAGTGAACTGCGGCATTACAACTTGCCTTCATAGTTCTTTATGACATTGCCATCCATAGAGTCGTACTACAAGAAAATGCTGTGATCATAGTAGATTATGATGCTATCATTCACTGGCTCTAGCTAGGATACAGTGCTGTCACCAGGGAAATTGCCAAATGATTTTCGTTTTAAATAATGAGATTAATCATTGCCTGAGTTCACATAATTGTTTAGATGTGTCCTTGTTTAGAATGGTAGTCTAATCTATCCGTCTGTCTACATATCTGCCTGACTGCACACCTGCCTGCCTTACGCACCTGCCTCGGCCTTCCCAAAAACTGACTTACCCGCCAACTTAACGCCTCTCTGCTTTTATAGTAAGTATGTTTGTAAATGACCCTGTTCACAGATTCGGTACATCAAGAATATAGTGCTAGACTTATATTATTTATAGACCAACCGGCACTTGATGAGATGGTCAATATCCACCAGCCACTTTTACTTCCAAGGACTGGCAGGTGGGCGGCCTGGCTACCAACCTACCTTCCCCACCTCCTTACTGTCAAGGAAGCCTAATGTGTGATCTTTCTTGCTGTATATCATGAACCCAAAGAAAGAAAAAAGAAAGAGAAAAGGCTTGTACACAACAACCCAAATCCACTCCGTACTTTAAAATGCCAACTATTTGTATATACATTTTATTTTCTCAAGAGGTTTGACGATACGTACATTTAATTGTTTTATTGCAGAATAAAAAGAAAATGCCACAGTGCAAATTTTTTCTCAGCAATTATTTCTATTTGTGTGTAATGATTTATTTTCTTTTTATTATTATTTATATTTATTAGCAAATATTGAAAAATATATGTAAATGTTAGTTTATTAAGAAAATATATGGAGAGAATGAAGTTTAGGAATATAAATAATTGGTAATAAATTAATGTAATCTTAACTATAGTTGTTTGTTTTTTAGATTACAAGGTGGTATTTATAATTTGATTACAATGTGATTTTTCAAATTCCAGCTGTAATCTGGTCTTACTAATTCCAGTTGCAAAGTGGGTTTTCAAATTATGATTACAATTTGCGTTTTTTAATCTCAAGTGATAATATATGCTGCCATATGCAATCAGTACAGGGAATAAACACCATGGGACCGAATAACCTTCAAGCTTTTTCTTTATGTGGCGTGATGTCGACCCTGTCACTCACCGAGGGCAGGCGGATCTATAAAAATATGAGTCTGGCATCATTTGCCCGAGACAGCACTGGCGTGAAATGGTACCTTCACTTGACGGCTACTTTTAATGACTGTGTATCTATCATACCGTTCATCCTTCTGCTGGAAGATCCGGTGTTCTGAGTGTTCAGTCTTTCTGTTTCTGCTGTGAAACTGTGGGTATCGGTACTAACAAACAGCTGAGACTGCAGACACATTTCTCAGTCAGTTACAAATGTTTGTATAACATGTGTCATAGGGTCACTAAACTCAAGTTCATAGTTCACCAGACTTATTTAAATCGAAACAAACATGGGATGATTTTAGTTTGTTCAGTCACAAGAAGTGATATTGCATTTTGTTGTGTGCTCCTTGGTTGGATAGTAAGTATATCTTCTAAAAGTTGTTGACACTGTTTATTTATATTTGATTTTCACGAATAGTCTTGTGGCTCCTACACAGACACAAAGTGGTCATTCATTGTGATTATCTCTAGCTGTAGCAAGAATCCTAGTGATCATCCTTTTTCCATTTGAGGAACAAAGGTTATTCTCCTGAGCGCCACCTGTTGGGCTGCTGGTATTGTGGGAAGAGGTTCAGGCAGTGTAGGGGGATCTACGTGTTCGCTGTTGTGTTGATCATTGGGAATGTTGAATGGGTGATGTATATATTGCCAGTTGGGTAAATTTTTAGAAGGAATCGATAGCTCCGGTGTCCTGGGGAAAATCCTTGACACATTTACGGGCATCTTTTGATGAGATGAGAGATTTTGATTATTTAATGTGATCAGCAGCTCTGATGTCTGGGGGAAAATCTCGGATGTATTTACAGGCATCTTTTGATGAGGTGAAAGACCTAGATTATTTGAACCAGTTAAGAAATGTTGATTCTGAAAGCAGTTTTGTATTCTGTTCTTAACATGAGCTGGCCCTGCAACTGAATTGTTTGTGATGCAGTGTCTGGATTGTAAGCTTTGGTCATTGCATAATGGCTTTTGGTGAAATATTCTGTTTGATGATGCAATATTTTCATGATAAGGACAAACGTAGGGCCTCATTAAATTCCTGCTTGTTTGTAGATAATGTTCCTTAAGTATAAGATGGTGTTGTGTGTCACCAGTATTACTTTTATAATTAGCGTAGCAATCAAACTGACCAGGAATATTTTTTGAATCATTCAAACTGCTGTTCTGATTAGCCAGAACCCAGTTGGAATGATAAACTGCATTTGCCTGGTTGTAATTCTGCTGTAAATATTCATACAATGCATTTAGATTTGACAAACTGGCATCTTCAGCTGGGACATGCTTAAATTGATTTTCTAATCTTCTGTAACATCTAGGACACGATTGATGAATATCTGGCATGTAATGGCATCTGCTTTCAGACATCATTGGTTGTGCATCTGATGTGTGACAACTGCTTGATGGTTGGCTCTTGTTTATGTCTGACGATGCATTGTTTGCCGGTTGATTCATCCTTGCTTGATGAAAATACTGTTGAGGATTTGCGGCCGAATCAGACGACAATATTTGGCTTGGTTTCTGAAACAGAACATCATTAGAAGTGTCCATGTTAGGCTTTGCTAAATCATGAGCCAGTGTATGTTTGTACTCATGTGTTCCTTCTCCTGAAACTTTTCTGTTGTCAGACCTAATATTACATCTTGATTTCTGTAAATTTGCCTGCATAAGACCCTGCCAGTTCCAGGAGCTCCCGAAACTAAGTGATTCTTGAGAGGTGCGAATGGTTTCTTCACATGAACCAGGACCATAATTTAGTTTTCTATTGGTTGCCGGAGTATTGCTCAAAACAAATTCTTGTTGATTGCTTTCTAGTTCGGAGTCTGATTCTTGTCTAAGCTGATCAGATAAACTTCTTCCTTGGTTCTCATTGATAAGGACCTGGTCATGCTCAGCTGCTCGAGCAGTCGATGTTGCTGAAGGTTTGTACCAATCAAAGCTCATCTTCAGGGAATCAGATGTAGTGCAAGCAGATCCATTTGAGTGACAGTTCTTGGGTTTGGCTCCTCGGTTCTGATCATCCTTGTTATCCTCTTCTTGATTGTTTTCTTCAAATTTCTGTTGCTCATTATGGGCATCTTGGGAACTGTCCTTTGCATGCTTAGTGTCCCTGACATCTCCACCCTGAATGCAGAAAGGGACAGTCACAGGGAGTATACTGTGCTTCCTCTTAATTCTTTCTACCACAGGCTTTTTTCCATTAAAGGAATTTGTTGCGCCTTGTAGGTCTCCCTCTATTGAATGCCCACAAGAGGATTTAGATGTAGATACTTCCACTTTCATTTGCTTGCGTGCTGGTTCATATGCTGAATAGAAGTAAACTGCATTTTGGTTGGTTGTGCGATATACTTTGGAAGCTGTTGTGTTTTTATGAGCTGTTGTTGGCTGCAGGCATCTTTCAACGAAGCAGTTACAGGCCTTGGTTTTAAAGTTGTACTCTCGTACATTAGTAGGTATTTGTTGTTTCAGATACACATCTCCCTTGTCCAAAACAGCACTGTTGTTTGTACTTAGTGCGGGGGTTTTCAGCATGCTCTGCTGCTGCTGCTGCTGCTTGACATCAGTGATTGGTTTATGTGGAAGAGAGGCATTTTGTTTTTTTATAGTGTACATTAGAGCAGAGCTGACATACTTGCGGTTCTTAGCCAACCCTCTCATAATGCGCAGGCGAGAATTCAGCGCCATGTTTGTGAGCCCAGGCTTTTTGGGTTCTTCTTCCTGCTGATGCCTGCTAGAGGTTTCCGTTTGTTCTCTGCTCCTGACTGGACATTTATTATCGAATGCTTTGACAAGACTTTCCACTTTACGAGAACGTCTCTCCGATTGACTGCTGCTCTCAAGTCTGTCTTTTGATTCTTTTGCCCGCACAGAAGTCGTTTTCTTTCCAGATCCACTTCTGTCTCCTGCGTAGCTAATTTTTAACGAATTTGATCTCAGCTGTTTTTGCCAGAATGGAATTTTATTACTATCTTCTTTGCTGTTTGTTAACATGTCATTTGAATTTTTAAAAGGGATATTTTCTGGCAAATTATTTCCGAAAGGTCTTCTTTGTCTCATGCTGTCAGACACTTGTTCTCTACTCTCTTGACTTTTGCTGTCAGATCTGTCATTTATGTCACTTGTTGCCTGGGTGATGAATCTGTTTACACCTGGCTGTTTGTTTGTTTCAGCTGTACCCACTAGCTCATCTGGGGTGTTGGCCATGGGCACAGTTTCACCTTGAAATCCACAGATAGTTGTCAGTGTGTAGTTAGACTGTGAGTAGCTGGCCGTTGACTGTCGGATGTTGTGTAGGCTGGACATGAGCTCGGTGTCCGTATCCTGCTGGTAAGGGTCGTTGGCATTTTCTTTCTCAAACCAGCTGATGATCACATCTGTTGAGCTGTCCGGAGACCTGATCACGTTTACTTCATTTTGGTGCTGGCTTTTTTCTGAAGGTGTTTTATTTGAGTCATTTGAAGACTGGCATATAAAGTGTGGCTCCTTTATCTGCTGCTGTTTGATGCTGACAGTTTCTAACTTACTGTAGGAAGAGCTCTGGGAGTTTCTAGCAGATGTTGCTCTCTGGTTCTCATTCGGCAGAGGGTGGATCTGTGACAAGCTTCGGGTCTCTGAGCGTTGTATTCTGCTGGAAGATGTCTCGCTTCTTTTCATCTTGGGGATTTGAGAGGGTCTCCTGCTGGCAAACTGCTGAGACCCTTTAGTTGTGGAACTTTGCTGAATGTGTTCTTGTTGTCCAGCATAAGACTGATAGTTTTCCTTTGTGCTAGACAGGTTGTCTTC